TGTTGACTTCATTTTGAAGAATATTATAGAAATTCTTGGGCCTCAAATATTCCAGTAGCGGTATTTGTAGCTTTGTTAAAAGAAGCCAAATTACAATATGGTGAAAGTCTTTCCTTAAAAGGTAACGACATTGAAACGTTTCATTTTTTAACAGGGGGTTCCTTGTCTATAGACTTGGCTCCAAAAAGGTTGATGGGAAACCTGGAAAAGATAAAGGATCTTATATTAAATAAAAAGTTTATACCTTTCCCCCCAAGACCAGCAATCCCATTTGAAGATTCAATTGATTACCAAATAGAAATGCAAATACTTAATCGTAAAGAGTATCCAGGCAAGGATGGATTTGAAAACAATAAGCAATTGAACATAATTGCAAGAGCAATATTAATCTATCCTGAGATAATAGAATTCTGGAAACAAATTGGCTATCATGATATATGTAAAGATGTCAATAATTTGGTTTTACAGGGTTCTTTGTTAATTTGTTTTACCCAAATTATAAAAATGAAGAAGCTTGTGATTATCCAATTACAATAGACTTTGTCAAATGTTTACAACAATTAGTAAAAGTTGGATTCAAATTGACAAAATCTGTCATGACTGATATTCTAATTTTATATGAGCAACATATTGATAAAATTGGAATGGCACTTTTAGAAGCTTCTTAAAATCAATCAAAATCTGATATTGTTGGATGTTGTGTTGTAGAAGCCATTAAAGTCAACAGAAATTTGAAAAAACCTCAAGTTTTAGATTTTCTAAGAATGCAAATTGAAGATAATTGTTTAGAACTTGTATTTCTTAAAGCACTAGTTTATCATTATTTTGATAATAATACCAGGAAAAAATTAATTGATTTTCAAATTTTTGATAAAAGTAGATCTTCTGCCTACAACACTGACAGTTTAATTAGCAGCAATAATATAAGTAATATCAATATTATAGATAACATCAATGAAGAATCTATTAATTATTATTATAAATATGATTATTATTATGACTATGGTTATAACTATTATCCACATGATATCAAGGATTTAAGGAATGGTTACTATTGGACAGAATATTATGTTGACAGATTGATATGTGATGATACTTGTAAATTTATAAATTCAAATATTGAAAAGCCAATTAATAATATAAGATCATTGAGATTAAGCAGTCATTTGTATAAATGGGTGTTAAGAAAATTCAATCCAGATTCATTAATCACAAGATTATGCTTCAATGATATAATTATATCAAAGTTGTGGATTGATAGAGAGTTGTTACTCCATCCTGAAAAATCAATACCAGGAAGAATGACTAGTTGTGCATTTGATTTGATTATACATACTTACAATGAATTTTGTCAGAATAATATTCCATTTGAATTGGTCCATTTAAATTTATTAAAGAAATCAAACAATATAACAACTTTAAAACCATTTTTCGAAGGGTTTTTACCCCAAATTTTTAATCTCAAACCAACTTTTAAATATAATAGCAATATTAGCAGCAGAAAACATAAATTGAAAAAACAACTGCTATTGCAAAACCAGCCTCTTTTTCAACTGCTTGATGTTCATGAGAGGAAAATTGAAGTTGAGGAGAGAACAACATTATGGTTTTCTGAATTGGAAAAAGTTTATCAAGAAGTAACAATGCAATTAAATACAAACACGCAAAATAATCAGCTCACTTTGAATTTTATATTTTGTATGAGAAATTTTTGGAATAGGCTTATAGCAGAAACTGATTACACCAACAAACCTAAATCAAAAAAGCAAAGATTTGGAACATTGGCACAACTTGGAACAGAAAATGGATATGGATTGGGAACCAATAGAAGGAAATGGATCAAAGAATGATAAAAGAAAACAGAGTTCAAAGGTAAGGAATTTGGACAGTGAATTATCAGTATTTTTACTTTTACTATTATTATCTTTAATGCTTAATGGAATATCTTTTTAATATAATTGTACACATGTGAATATTCATATTCATATATAATATATAAATAATATTTATTATTATATATATGTATACTAGTGTTGGTTGCCAAAACTATTTCGATTCAAAACTAAAATTAAATTTATATATGTCAAAACTAAATCAAAAGTCAATAGTCAAAAATCAAAACTAGTTTTGACTTATGGCGAAACCTTTTGACTTTTGCACGGTTGCAAAACTCTCTAGTTTTGGAAACCAACACTAATATATTAAAAAAGATCATTTCTTGTTGAAAGATAGAATTCCACCCTCTTTACACTTGTATAAATGTATTGCATTTAAAGATAGTGTTCAAGAATGTGTTACTCTATCTTTTAGTATATAGTAAATGATCGAGCTAATTATTGTTATTGTTATTATTATTATTAAAATAAAATATCTCTCAAATTTCATTATTTGTGAAACCAATCAAAAGATCTATTATGGCCTATTTGCGGAATTTTATTAACATAAAAAAGAATTCAAATACGCAAACATGAAAATTAAAGTCGAGCTTAATGGAATGATTTATTATTCAAGTAGTTCAATATCACGGGTAGGCATTTTATTTTTTCTATTTGAAATTGTTACTAATGGTTTTATGATTTTTGTAGCAACACTTGGTGATTTAAACTGGAATTGGTTTTTTATTCGATGGAAATAACAACTGTTATCGAATTTGCTTCACATATATTCTATATATCACATAATCACTGATGAATATTAGGAGCATGATGAGATGTGTTGGTGTGTACTAATATAACATCTTATTAAAAAAATGAATCGAAGTGGGTATTTTTATTTTATCAACGTTTCAAAAAAGTGGTGATAGTCGGCTAAAAATAAATTTCTTTTACATTCATTTTTACATCTAGAATTTTGGTGCAGAATTCAGTGACATAGACACTTAGTTGATATGGGTCCATCTGCATTACTTAGAATGACAAAAAAACATACATTTGCTCAAAAAAAGAAATTTACAATGCTCGTAGTAGGATAAAGGTATGTTAGAGTTTTCTATTCGTAATACAACTCAATCTTATTCGAATTTTCGAATTATTATTATTATTATTATTATTATTATTATTATTATTATTATTATTATTATTATCATCATCATCATCATCATCATGATTATTATTATTATTATTATTATTTGGTTTGTTTGTTTTATTTATTTTATTCGTTTTATTCGTTTTATTCGTTTTATTCGAATTATTCAATTTAATTTGAATACTCAAATTCATAACGAATAAAACAAATAATTCGAATAAACCTTATTCAAACCATTAAATAGTAATTAGGCTTCTATTTGAATAAGGTTTATTCGAATTATTCGTTTTATTCGTTATTATTATGAATTTGAGTATTCGAAAGTTTATTCGAATTAAAAGATTGATTGTTACGAATGAAACCCCTAATAATAAAATGAAAATGAATCAATAAAATTATAATACGTAGTACCTAGGGGTATGGGAGGACCCCAGAGACTACATAGATAGGTTATTGGGGTGTCCCACATCATATGATTATAAACATAGTCGATCACATATATAAATTTTCATTAATAAGGATTTTTTAGAGGTTTTGCGGATTTATTATTATTTTTTTGGTGCCACAAAGATATAATAACAAAACACAACTTTGATTAGAATAATTATTATTATAAATAAAGAAGTTACAAGAAATTGTATAATAATATTTTTAACGGCTGTAAATTGTTTGACTAGTACCAGTGTACGAAATTCAGTCGGCAATTTCGGCAGTTACACGGAATTTGTAGATCGTTTTATGTGCTCAAATAAAATAATTATTCCGATTTATATTCCGTGTAATAGTGTCACCGATTAAATTTGGGAGAGCGTAATTTTAATTGGTGATAACAATTATTTTTGTTTTTGCGTGGATCAGAATGAATAGGGATCAACGAATTGATTATGATATTAGCGAATAATTTTGGTTAAAGAAGATAAAAGTTTTAAATAAAATATTTCTATTTTATTTATTTAGTTTTATTTAGTCGAAACTAATTAACTTGTTAACTTGTAACAAAAGTTTTCCTTAGTCGAAACTAATTAACTTGTTAACTTGTAACAAAAGTTTTCCTTAGTCGAAACTAATTAACTTGTTAACTTGTAACCAAAGTTATTTTACAAGCAAGTCGAATTTGAGCTTCTTTTATACAATTAAATTAATTGGTAACAACTTCATTGCAATCTAACATTCTAGCCGCGATATTACACTTTAATTGCGACGTAACATTCTAACCGCGACGCTAATTTCTAAATAAAACTAACTAATTTCGACGTTATACGAATAAAAATAAAAATGCAATACAAATAAAATAATAAAAATGTAAGTAAATATGAATAAAAATAAAATAAGAAATAAAATATAAGGAATAAATAATGTAGATATAAAAATAAAGTAAATAAAATAAAAATAGAAATAAAAGATTTGATTCGGAATTAGGATATTTCGACTAACAAATTAGCGTTAAATCCTAATTCTGGTAACAATAGTAACAAATAATTTAATTCGAATTTTCCATTTTTCAGATTTATTATTCCATGATACCATTTTGAAGGAAAAATTTATCAATTTTATAAATTATATTAAAATTTAATTACTATATATTAAAAGTAACATTGAAAATTTTTTAAAAAAATAAAATCAAATTAAAATGTCAAATAAACAAAATCCAAAGTGAATTTCTTCTGTTCATGGAAGTATGAGTTCAAAGAAAAACAAAATATCTCAACCATTAACCTCATTAAATGATTCTTTTGGTGAATTTTCTAATACTACAATGCACAGAACTGAAGTATCTGATGATGAATTAAATGATAGTGAAAAAACTATAAGTTCTGAAGATTTGGAAGATGAACATAATATATCACATACTAATAAAACTGTTAATCCTGAATGGTTTAAATCATATTCATGGTTAGGAGTTGAAAACCTTAATGAAGAAACAATCATATATTGTAAAATATGTAGAAATAGGAATGGGAAAACGAAATTTGCAAGAGGTACATCTAGTTTAAGATTAACAAGGATTAAAGAGCACTTAATAGCCAAGGAGCACAAAGAATTTGAAGAATTACTTGAGGCAGACCAATTGAGCACAAAAAAATTAACAATAATTTCATTAATGAGAAATGTTTATTTTTGCTCAAAAAAAAATCTTTCATTGAATATCTATCCAGGTTTATGTGATTTAGCATCACTACAAGTCAAGAATAAAGCAATTGGTGATAAAACCTCCAATTTAAAACCTGCTTCCATAGAAAAAACATCATCACCTAAATCAACTTATGGAAGCTATACTAATGCTAAGCCTGGTTCTGAATTTTTAGAATGCATAGTTTCTGTTATACAAAAAGAACTTTTTGAAGAATTGAATATATCTCCATACTGGAGTGTATTGATTGATGAGACAAGGCTCATCAGGAAAATGTGTTTTTTTTGATACATGTATTATATGTATATTATATGTGTATTATTTTACATTACAGGTAAGGTTGCGGGAGAAACTCCTCCAGAAATCAATCGACAGAGTTTCGACAGGTTACACATTAATTGTTTATTAGAGT